CAGAGCATATTTGGTGCAGGGCACTGAAGTCATTTGATATAATACGTCTCTTTCAGTTTTCGCAGCTTAGACCTAGTGATTGTTTTAAAAGCAATTTTAGAGGGTATAGTAGTGTCTAGTGCAGATTTGGTGTTGGTATTGAATATTTCTAATTTTTCTGAGAGGTTATCACAGGAAGGGAAACTGCTCCAGTCCGAATGATTTATTAGAAGTCGAAAATTTTCCCAGTCAGCGTTTGCGTAGTCTCTATATTGGAAACACGTATTTAATGTCTTCAATTTGTTGCACATGGCAAGATTCGGAAGGGTGTAGAGGACTATTTTATGTTCGCTCTTGTGAAACTTTTCGCTAACCACCATTGATGTTGGTGTAATATTGTGACAAAATATCAAGTCAAGATTGTCGTGATTTCGTGTAGGCAGGTGTACATGTTGTTACCAACCGTGTATGTCTAAGTACCTAAGTATGCTTTCAAAGCACAGTGGGCCAGAATGTGTCGTCCAGTTGATGGTGGGAAGGTTGAAATCACCACATATAATTTTGTAAGTGAAGTCAAGCGAGGCAGCCTGAGCAAATACTCACTTATAATAGTGTCAGTTGAACTAGAAGTGTTAGGAGCTCGACATATGCATCCGATTAGTATTTTACATTCATGGGTATGCACAGTAAACCGTATCGATTCGGCAAGTTTGCTGAGGACGTGGTCGCTATAGATTTCCCCTCTCAAATTTTTTGATACATAAACGAGACAACCACCACCCTTCTTGGTGACTCGATCACAGCGGAAGAGCTCATAGGTGTCTATTTGCAGACATGGGTCTGTGATATCGGAGGACAGCCAACTTTCCGTTATAAAAACAAGTGAGGGATTGTTTAAAAGTAATAGGGTGCGTAGGTGAGTCATCTTACTTTGTACAGATCGGATGTTGATTAACATAAGTGTCAGGTACGGTGAAGGGTATGATGTAAACCCAGTGGATTGTCTGTTTTGCCATGAGAAAAGCAAGAATTGGGAGCGTTGACTGCATACTGATGAGCGTTTAGTTTATTACCAATAGGGTTAATGCGAGAGGGGTAGTCGGGTGTTGTTTTGGTGAAAGAAGTATGTCTAAGAGTGATAGGTAGAGTTGAATGGTTAGGTAGTGTGTTTGGGGAGTGCTCAGGAGGTTCAGACAAGGAGTTTTTAAGACTGGAGACAGTTATCGAAGCTAAAAAGTATGTGCCACTCCTCATTAAATCGGAGTACATGGATGGTCTCAGAATGGTGGGATTGTCGCCCTCAACATTTGGGGACCCCATAGCAGTAATGTTGAGGGAAAGAGAGATAAAAAAGGATGAGATGGCGTATATGACGGATTAGGGGGATTAAAGAGTCTTATAGGGTGGTTTGACTTAGATAGTACCTAGAATCAGTAGGTGGGTTCCCAAGTAGGCCAACGTTATGGCATCCTTATGTGCGGTGGGCAATTTTAGCCCTATTGTGGGTAGTTGGGGAGGTCGTATGATTCGGGTAAGGAATGAAGGAATGCCTGTTATTGTTGCCAGGAGAGGTGTTTCTGTTGTGTATAGTTGTGTGCTGGTTCATGAGGCTTACAAGGTTCACACTATATGACTTATGGGTATTACGTGTAGGTGTGGTTCTTGTTGAGTGTCGTTTCACGTTAGGAAGGTTGGGTATTGCCAGTTCACTATGTTTGTTATAGGGCATTCTATTGCTATGAAAAGATGCATGTTTTGGGTTAGGGGTGCTGGAGCAGTGGTGGGTTTTTACAAAGAGTTTGGTATTATTTCGTACAGCGGTGTCTGAGCGTCTGTAGCTGTTAGCACAATTCCTCGGAGGGTCATTTTTAGGCTTTTTATCGGGGCCGCTAGGGCAATACCTGGACGCTATTGAGGCATAAGTGGATTGGAATTTTGGGGTAGCTGTGTGTTTGGGCTGAGGGTGAGTGGTTGCGGCTGCTTTATATGCGGTCTTATTCTTAGGAATAATAGCAGCATCCGACATGCCTTCGTTTTTTGGAGGGGCAGTGTATGGTGTTTTAGGATTTGTGCAATGGTAAACGCTGTAACTGCCACTGCTACGTAGGCTGGGTTGATTAGTTTGTACTCCATTCAAGATTTGACGCTGGATAGCAGTCCTGTCATGGATGATTCTAATCTTTTTAAATGTTGGAATACGCCTCAATAATGACTGACTATTGAGGAGGTGATTAGCGTCAGTGGTATTACCAAACTGAAATAGAGTGGGACAGGAGGTTTTAGTGTGTGCTTTACGTAATCTTCTTGTTACACACAAAGATTGTGACAATTCCCATTCTTGTAGCGGAGTATTTTTTAGCAATCTTTACGTTTGCACTATCAGGTATATTATACACAATGACATTCTGCATACGCTGAAGTCTTTTCAACAATTCAGATGATATATGGTCAATTACTTTTCAGTGTTTATAATTTGGAATTCGGGATTTTCTGTAACATTGATTAAATATTTGTTTGGTAATAAGTCTTGGACAGTTTGGGTGAGGCTAAGTTTTGTTTGACTGCTTTTAGATCTACCAGTGGTGAGATTATTGGAATTTATATCAAAGCTTTTAAGGTCGATATGGTTACATACAGACCTGTTGCAGGTTTCTACCGGGTGGTCACCTTGTGCATAATTAGTTGGGGAGTATATGTCTGGGTGAGTAGTCAAGATCTACATCATCGAGCTGGCTATTGTAGGCAGGCTTACACGTACTCCGTGAGCCGCTATTCAGGATGGCCGATTGTGAAATTGTTGAGTGTTTGGGGTCAGTCGCACGGTCTAGATACTGCTCACAACATGTGATGCTTTCGTTTGGACTGGCAAATGATGTCGACTCTCACAGTATATAACTGCTCTTACTTATATATACAAGAGAGATGGAAGGTAGTGGTGTGTCATACCCAAGTAAACGGTGCACCTTTAGTGTAGCTGAAGGAAGATTAGAATAGGATGCAGACTGGTCAGTATGTTTATGGAGCTTAACACTACTCACTTTAGTGACTGATTTAGATCTTTTGCAAGTGCTATAGGGATCAGGAGAGATTATATGTTTTGTAGATGGCCTGGACATTATTGGAAGTATTGTAAATATAAAGTTTAATTAAGTGAACGGCGTCAGTTATCAATTAACTTATTAGACGTGTCTTTGCACGTCTAATGGTAGGATAAGAACCAGTATTAGTTAAAAGCAAACACATTAACGTTATTCAGTGTAAAGAGGTAGACAACGTGAAAACTGGCGAAATTATTGCATGACGTTGAGTCCCAAAATGAAGTGTCAAGTTGATAGGACCCTATCAGTGATGAATTATTTATCGCTAATAAATGTTAAACCAAAGTGAAAAACTAATAAGAAAATAAAATGATACCACGTAAAAAATCACAACCTTCAAAACGAGTTCAGATTTTTGCAGTGTTACAAATTGCAATGATTAATATAGGTCGATAGACCTCCAGTCCTTATTACTGAAAGCTGAACAAACAAGCTATTTGAACAAACTTTTATCCGTTCACACCCACTTGAACTATTCGAACAGAATATTTGATCGAAATGCTCTATGATGAAATCTAACTGCTTACATCTGAGGACTCGTTCAATATGTTCAGATGTTATTGTTTAGCTCACAATGTCGCGGCAAGTTTAGGTTGGAGGTCAAGGTCGCCGTTGTTCATGATTCTCGTGTAAGCCATTAGATGAATTGTTTACCTGAATGTAAAAAACATTTTCTTGTAGTTAGACTCGAGTTTTCTATAACAATTGTGTTTAGCGTTTTCAGATAGTTTACACTAGTTCATTGGGTTTGAACCCAATGAATAATGTGGTGATTGCACCTAATGTAGATTGTGACATTGCCACCATAAAATATGTACTCTTTCAAAGAACCAAGTATGGTGATAAGCCTTTGTGATACGCATACTAAGTAATTGTGAGAATATTAACACTAGCAAGTATGTTAGGCTATTTGCAAATCGATTTGTAAATGGATCTTCCTGAATTTGGGAAGAAATTTAACATTACTTCAGGTGTTTTAAAGTGTACTTTTGTAGGCTTGTGACTTCCGTAATCATTGTATAATTGCTACCCCTTGACTGATCACCACCAACTAGAGTTACGGGGAACTGAGTAGCTGCGGCGAGACTATAATCTGTGGACGAACGAATCACGTATAAGATAACATGTCTCGGATATTGGCAGAAATTCATTCATCCATCAGGGTAAATATAGTTTTGGGATTATACCTTATGTTAGTTCGTGATGAGAACCCGAAATCTAATTACTAACCTTGATCATCAACTGTAAATTATAATTGCGATTCCGGTAAAACTATATTTTATGGGCGACTTTTGGACGAATTTTTAAGTGACCTTGAAACTATTAGTCAATCAGAAGAGAGTTAGTATAAAGTGAAAACACATGATAAAAAATTTATGAATTACAGCGGATATTCTTCTTGTCAAGGTTAGATGAAGGTTCAGATGTCCTGAAATCATAGTGCGTAGGGTTAAGGTTAGAGTTAGGGGTCAAGGTTTAGGGTTAGGGTGCACAAACCCAAGTCTATGTAGGCATCTATACGGTTTCCAATCATCGGTGTATATCGTACTGCCAGGCTGCACGTACTGTAACATCTGCAAAAGCCGCAGCCAATGTTACTGGTGACTTCATAATCCAATTTGCAACAATTATCATGATTTGCCTTAGTTTGAGTCGTGATCGAACGAAGAAAGTGCCAGTTCGAGCAGATTTTATCTTCTAACATATAGTACAACGAAATCTAATGTCATCACGGCAGTCTGCACATCGTGCTGCAGTCATTTGATTACCGCAGTCACAGATACAGGAACTTCCTAATAGTCCCATCTGTTGTAGTCGCTCAAAAATCACCTCTTCTCTAAAATCTGCTGTAAAACGATCGAATGTGAGCATCTCGTATTGAACTTAGCGCCGTGACCTTGAAATTCCTCGAACGCTTCTGATTGGCTCGTCCATAAATTAGAGTCTTACTGCAATTCCTCATACAGGTTCATAACCCTCATTTTGCCCTAGTTGTTAAGTGGACACCCTCAAGGTCAGTTTAGCGGCGCTCAACGGTCAATCCACGAATTGTAGTCTCACCGCTGCCTTATACACACTCTGATGCCACACAATGTAAGGATTCTCTGGCCTACCTGACCAGGCTGTCTTAGTTTCTAAGTGCAGTGTAAGAATTCAAAGAACTGCCAGAAGAGCTGACTTATTTAAAAATTGTGAAAAAAGAATACTTGCTGATCCCCAAATTGTATTTACACATTGCCTATGTTGGTCATTGTGTTCCTTAAGGTGATGAGCATCTCAGTGTTTGATGATCTATCCTAAGTACTGGGAATGTTTTGAACATTACTGAATAGCCTCAACGGTATATTCTGACCTTACTACAAATCACTAGAATCAGCAACGAAGTGGGAGAACTATCGAGCACTGTCCTTCCTAAAGTGAGTATTAGACCAAGAGAATGTTTTTTTACCACTTATTGATTGTGCTTTACGGTCTTAGATTAAAGTAACAACGTGGGCGTAGTAATTTAGCTCAATAGTACTTAGTCGCGTTAAGTTAGTCTTCTGTATGCTTCAAAACATTTAACAAAGAAGTAGAAGAATCGGAACGTATCCGTTTTTATCTTTGATGGTTAGTTGTAAAATCTAGGTCGGTACATTATTTTTTAATAGTACTGAGGGTGAATTCCGGTGACAAAATTCCTTACTTCATAACCAACCTGTAGAGCTACTGTCAGTGTCTTGATTCTGGATGAACTAGGGTATGTGAAGGAACACTTAAACACCTCTTACACGTGCCTGGAATCCAGGCAGATACACCCTGAAAGGTGATGCCATCCTCAGACTACGGCCGTTCATGTGATTGAATTTTCTTGGATCTAAAAACATGGCATCAAGAAACATTACTTATGAATCGCAAATATGTTAACTACTGCAAATCAACAAATTGATGCCATAAGAGGTGTTTCCCATAAGTGCCGTTTTAACAACACAGGGGTAATCGTATCAGCAGTAGAGGTCTGTTCCCGCTTCTCAGTTTTTCACTATCTTAAGCCTTATGCTAACTGCAGAAATAGCCTGTATTGAAGTAAAATGTAGCCAGCTAATCTGAGGGCTTGTTTTGGTCAGTTTTGTGGCTAGAGATTTTGTCCCAATTTCCATAGCTTCATGTCGCTTCATTTAAAGCATGGAAACAACATTCTCTAACAGTTTTTTGAGCTCAGTAAAAGCATCAACCTCAGGAAGATCATGTGAATGCTGGTTTTATAAGTTTTTTTATAAATCCGGAGAAACTAAAACAGTTCAGTATCAAAATAACCGGAATAAAACTGCAAGAACTTTTCACAAGTCATTTCTACTAATCGGTTAGTTTTCTGCTTTTTTCCCGAAAAATTTCTTGCAAGCTGAAATTATTTCAGCTAAAATTCGTAGCCTTTAAATATATTTTCACTATCAGGAAAGTTAATACGTTAATCATCAGGTCTGCTCTATTGGGGTCAGACTTCTATGTCTTCGGAAATCCTTACTCTTTCTACTTCTCTTATAGATACAGTTCTTGAAACCAGTTTAGCGTCTTCCGGATTGGTGTGAAAAAACAGTTGCGATGCATCTTGTTTCTTTCGCTGGTAAGTGTCGTAGGTTTTTCAAATATTTTACTTAACAGTCCAATTCCTAAGAGAAGCTACGACTGTAGTTTATCAATTTTTTAAAATGTTCAGTGACAATTTTCGATAACGAGAACCAAGGATACTAACATGGTACTGGTAAAAGATCTTGATATATATCAAGGAGACCAGCTCGAGAGATTTGGTCATAGGGAGATTGACACCAGTAATGATGTAGTCTATATGAAGCAAGTAATGCTATAATTTAGGGGACACTTACAGCTACCATCGAAATTAAATCATATGGCTTGTTTGTAACCGTGATTCAGTTAATATGTAGTATCTATAACACAGAATCGTATGTGAGAAAGATCTGTTTACTACCGATGAAGCTATAATTAATTTCATCATGACGAAGTATGAGGAAATATGTCTATAAAATCAACTAATGACCCCAACAGAGTGTTCTCATCGGGCACACGTTATTCCTAGTAAGTTTGATTTCCAAATGTCGAAAAGTTGGGTCGAACTCTAAACTCATTGTCTCTTTCAGTGAACTTTAATATATCAACTCATCAGAGATCAGAACTCAGCACATTTTAGAATGGAGTTTCTTGCAGACTAATATTTCTTTTGGGAGTTGTCTTCACGCAGTTCGACCAATTTATTTCGTACATTTAGTTTAATAATGTATGCGTTTTCAACGTGTTGCAGTCAGGAATTATCACTATTAAATGCCTAGAATTTTTTCATAATCACTAAGTTTCTTCATCTTCACTTCTCGTGTAATCATTACTTTCCTCGTTTATTGAAAGAATCACCTCCATTTTACCAATTCTTCAAGATAATTATTGCTGACTACTTTAGACTATACGTCAACATCCGTGGTGCATCAATGTTTTGGTTGGGGTGTTATTTCCGAAATTGAGAGGATGAAAAGCGGACAGTAACCCAGCATATACAAATTTAATGATTTACGTGGCGTATTTATATTCTGGCTCCCTTTGTACCAGTGTTTATGTGCTTAAATATATAGAATAAGTCTTAGTTTTTGTGCGATAAGAAGACATCTTTTAACACATAATGAGTTCGGACGTCGTGTATATACATTAGCTTATCATTACTAGTGACCTCAAGCAGTAAAGATTGCTTTTATACGGTTTTCAGAAAAGGACCTATTAGCATTATAGACAATAAGACGAGATATTCGACTGTTGTACGTAGACTAGTTGGCATTTTCGTTGTGTTTTGGGATTACCCAAATTTAATTTGGCGTAAGCTTTAATATAGTGAAAAATCTCCATAACTACGTGGTGAAGAAGTAAAATGAATGCATATTTATTTATGCATAAAGTTAACATTGCACTAAACATGTCTGTTTTCCACGGAAGAGTTGTGTAGAATACAACTTATTTTCCCCATTTCAAGCAGTATTCATATATATTAAAAAAACGTTCGATCTGTCTGTAATCATGAAGGTTTCTCTTTTTCAGATTTATGTAGGCTAACTTGAGCATCAAGTCACTAGCTGTTACTCAAATATTAACTATTAGAAAGGACGAAATTTCATTTGTTTCTTGAGATTACCAATAGTAGTATGAAATATGTAGTTTTGTTTTCTATGAGGAGGATCTCGAAAAACAATTACTTTTCGCGAGAACTCAAATAGAATAAGAAAATAATTAAATTTAGGTATGGTGATCATGTAATATTGAAAAGATTTTGTTGCCGCAGGATGACAATCCTTCCGCTATGACGTTATCAATGGCTGGTAACCTTTATATGTAATCACAGGTTTCATTAGTTTGCCATTTAGGATGTTGCTATTGTTATAAAGATTTTCTGTTATTAGATTGGACGAAATTTCGAATGTCGAAATCAATGTATAGAGTGCTAATCGATAGGTGGACTCACTGATATAATGTGACCGAGTGATGGCTACTCACGAGACCGTATGGTTGAGTTAGGCCCCTGAACAATTACTAACCAGATAAACAGTTTTTCACTCAATAAATAATATGCTTATATAAAAAGTACGGGCACAAAATAAACGTGGTTGAATATCATAGGTGACCGGAAAAAAGTGAACTTGTATGTCACTTTTTTTCAATCAATTAAGACATGACAAATAGATATCGTATCACCTCCTACACGAAATAATGTAGGATCTTTCTGAGGCAATACTGATGAGTCGGTACTTTTCCTTCTCTTCCTTTAGTTTTATAGTGAATTATGTTCTCGTTTCTTTTTGATTCCAAACTCATCATTGACAAGAAATTCAAGATACTTCATTTCGCAACCTTCTCCTCTTTAAACAGAGCACTTGTAGCACGATATGATTCGCAAAGATCCGAGTAATTAAGTTATAACAGGAAAATCCAGTGGTTCTCATGATATTGGTGCATGGCTTGCGCCGTTGACTCATATAAATATCACGTAACCAAAATTGGGGGTTCTGAGCTTGGATTCGAAAGTTTCGACTGTAATTCTACAGTTGAATGTGCATTGATAGTGACTTTAAGACTATTCATTGACGTATAATTTATTTATTTTTTGAACGCAAACATTTGTACAAAGGGGAGCCCAAATATAAATACTCCATATAAATCATTGAATTTGTATGTGTGCTGGGTTACTGTGCGGATGTCCGAACAGGGACACGTGGTTTTCTTAGGGATCACTCCCTGAGTCTTTGATCTAGGGGTCTAATCCAAAAGGCATTGAAGAGACGTCAGAAGTTGGAGTCCCATGGTAGTCGGTGACCAACAATTGGTTCATACGCCATTTGTTCCCTCAGGATCCTGGTGCTTATGTGACTATTGGTTTGGGATCCAGAATTTATCAACTCTCATAGGTAAGTCCTCCGAGCTCACCAACTCAGTTTAAGAGTCAAATCGCTTTTCATCCTCTCAATTTTGTAAACTTCACCCCCACGCGAGAAGGCAGTGAGTAGGGCCTTCTTGGCAATGGTTATATAAGTAGAATTCAGTTAGTGTTAAGCATAACACTAAATTATTTTAAAATAGAAATCAGTTGAATTATGTTGTTTAATTTTGATCAAACTATTCTGTAGTTTTAGATGCATCATTGAAATCTACTTAGATTACTAGGAGTTGCTTATTACCCTAAATCTAGCAAACTTCCGGGAGATTTTGAAGCATGAGTTCACGTATTCGTGATCATATGAGATTATTCTTGTTAACTGTACTCAATGAAGACCCCCGGCTGTTGTCGTAAGTCTAATTTCTTAACAATTATATGCTTTATCTGTAGTTTATGCACGCTAAATGAATTGACGTCTGTATTTGTACAAGAAATGAATATTGAACTCAGTGAAAATTGCTACTCAAAGCTTAAACATTTTGTGTGCTCTTTTTTGTATAATTTGATGAATGATGAGGTAAAATAATTCTACTTATTTTGTATGAAACTCAGGGAGTTGTAACAAATGGTGTGGATCCCCATGCTCAGAATTATTGCTTACCAGTTAAAAACTCTGTAAGTTCATTTTTGATTTATAAATAAAGCTTAAGACTGAATAATGATAAACTTAACATTCCTGTAAAAATTTGTCGGTTTCTTTTCGATTTATCAGTTATCATTAAATACTGGCATTCAAGGTTGCTCTTATAAAGTTTAGTGAAGGCTGTTTTTGCTGGTGAGAGACATGCTTGTTTGTGCAATAAGTAGGTCCTTGATATATAGGGTTGTTGTTTTGTCAGGAAATATTTATTCTTCCGGTTACTGGCCTTGTTTTTGGTATTCGTTTATTCAGATATCTGAGTATTTATCACTTCACCACGTTGTATCATTAAGTTCATCTATTTATCCATATTCCATCCCATCATTTTGATAATCTAAACTCATTAACTATTCATAAATACCTCGAACCCATCACAGCTTTGGAGTTATATCTATAATTATTTAACCTGGAATCAAGATGTTATTTTGTAAAGAAATTGTGGTTTATATTTTAAATTTCATGTTATAACAGAGAATGTGGTAACGCGTTACATATATTATTAGATGACTGTTTAGAAGCACATGTACTGTATTATGGTGTTTCCGTTATTTCAAAGTCAGTGAGACTTTCCGAATTTCCTGATAAAATTAATTTTTATGGTGGTTGTGAAATTTAGATCCAATGTTTGAAAGTTTAGTAAATACACCATTTTACTTATACATCGATCTAGTTTTTCTCTTTTCACAAGCACTTCTAATCGAAATGGAAAAATAGGTTTAAAAATATTTAAACTTTCTTCAAATCTGGTGATTTTTAAATATATATGTAGGTTAGCAAAGTCTTACATCTATGAAATAGTGATTTTAGTATTTAATATGTATGTGATAGATCTTAAAAGATTAACATTGACTCATTAAATAAACTAAGGTCTCAAGTGTTTCCTTATTTCTATCACAAACAACTGGCAGTACAACAGAAGATGGTTTGACTTTCTGAAAGAGTGTAAGTGTGGATGAGTACATAATAGCCGATTCGGCTTTGTCAATAGAATTCTTCCTCACTCAATCATTCAGTTGGGCTCTTGCATAGGAAGATTATATATCAAAACCAAACTCGGACACCGCACGTCACAACAATAGTGTTCGAATCCACAAACAATCCAAGCTTCAGTTTTTGATATTAACAAGGATCTCATTACTTTTTTTATGAAATCTATATGACTTTGAAGGACAACTAAATTCTATTAAGACAGTTTGGTGTCAAAACATTTTCGCAACGGATCTATCCTTAGTCTTAGCACCGTTGTATTCTGACAATTTCGAACATAGCCTCACTTATATCAGTTTAGACAGACGGTTAGTATCACTAGCACTCACAGAGAAGTTTTTAGCTCAAGAATGAGTCCACCAGGTTGATTACTATATTCTATTATATCCAATATTTTCTAACAACAAAATTTAACTTCTAAGATGAATATTCTAAGTACTGTATAACAGTTGCATTATAACATTGTATAACAGAATATTTATTCTTCGACTTTGTAATATTACTGAAACACCATATAACTAGCCCTATGATTTTAAGATTAAAGATGATGAATTTCATTGTTTCTTTTTTTTACTAATTAAGTCTTCTACACCCGAAACACGAAGACGTGTGGTCATGCTTTCTCGTGATGAAGTAATGGCATTGGCGGCTGCTACTGTTACTGATAAAACAAATCACGCTGTATCTATATCAAACGATGGGGAAAGTGTTAGTAAGCGTATTAAAGTAAGTTGGTGTTCATTATATATATAGTTATTCTTTTAAGCGTTGAAAAAGGAAATACGTCTGATGAAAGGGTAGACGTGCTTGTAAATAAAACTTAATCCTCTTGTAAAATTTATTTTTCATACAAATATCTTATTTAAGCACTTACCGTAATGCCGTTGAACCAGGCTTCATTAAATGCAATTTTAAAAGCAAGCGCTGAAGAGTAATATGGAGTAAAGTGAATAGGTAGAAGGTTATATTTATAAAGAGTTAGCAGTGTTCATTGATGTATAGTCAACTCAAAAGTCAGACATAACTAACTTGATTGTCGTTATTAATTATATTCTGCAACGTAAGTGTTTACTAAGACTCACAGTTTTTCTATATCAGTTCATGTGATACAGGAGATTTTGTTTACTTCCAGCAGTTGAGTTCTAGTTTTTTGCGCAGTTTATATCAGCATAGTTCTACACAAATATTAATATGCGGCTGAGTATTTCATGAAGCTTCACAAAACCTTATTTTAATCTGAAATGAGATAACTTTTTTGTCAATTACGACCTTTTTATTATAGTTTAAATTAACGGCATAATTTCTGTTAACAGATAGTACGTTGTAGTAAAATCCTTCATATTCGGTCAAGGGAAGTCGGTCTGTTCTTCACTCTTCAATCAGGTTTCTAAACACTAGTATTATTCTTTTTTGATTAAATTTATTTATTTGAATACATAAATATTGGTGCAAAGGGGCATCAAATACATATGCGCCACTTCGTGTAGCTTGGTTAGTAATAGAGTACTAGTTAAGCATGGCAAATCTATTGATCAGGTAGTAAATCTTCATTAACTTAGGTGGTTAGAACATGTGTTAAGTATGTCCAACCACCGCCTACCTTGGACGGGCGGTGTTTTTTGGTGTAGGAGGTAGGCTGGATGAAAGCTAGGGGCGGCCAAACCAAAATATGGTATCAGTCCATGAAGTCATTGGTAGTTGTACTGAGCCATTTTAGTAGATGCAGACTACCTGATTGAGGTTTGAGTGATTATCGTAACCAATGGTTGGAGACTTAATGACATGGGTCGAAATTATTCAATGGCCCAGGTGCACCATTCTTTTTATCCCCTCAAATTCTAAGCTTCTGAATTTTTCATAACTTTTTTTGTGTTTGTATCTCACTAATTTATATTTTCTCAAATCATATCTTTGATGCCTAAGCTTTTCTATTCCCACTAATAGTGTTACTACCTCTAATATTCCGGGATTCGGTTTGACAATTTAATCTCTGTGCTGATAGGGTATGACAATTTGAACCGATGTACATATGTACTAGGTTCTGCGTTACGGCTGATCGACTGAATGACTCATTAATTTGTTAATCTGAAGACTTGGCTCCTTCGTTGTTTCTATCCAAGGGTTCACTTCCGTAGCTGAAATTTATTTATCAATGTATACCAATATAAGTATGTTTGGGAGTCAGTCGATGTTTATATAAAGACGAAAACAATGGCCACTTCATTCAGTATGGTGTTAATGTCAGTTGTTACAGATTGTCTCGCAAATAATATTCGATTTGTCTTCTTTTTTAAATGTATCCACTTTGCTTAGTTAAGAGATTCTACGGACTAATTAAGCTAAAATACTCTATCATACTATAATTAATTTCATCATGACGAAGTATGAGGAAAATATGTCTATAACATCAACTAATGACCCCAACAGAGTGTTCTCATCGGGCACACGTTATTCCTAGTAAGTTTGATTTCCAAATGTCGAAAAGTTGGGTCGAACTCTAAACTCATTGTCTCTTTCAGTGAACTTTAATATATCAACTCATCAGAGATCAGAACTCAGCACATTTTAGAATGGAGTTTCTTGCAGACTAATATTTCTTTTGGGAGTTGTCTTCACGCAGTTCGACCAATTTATTTCGTACATTTAGTTTAATAATGTATGCGTTTTCAACGTGTTGCAGTCAGGAATTATCACTATTAAATGCCTAGAATTTTTTCATAATCACTAAGTTTCTTCATCTTCACTTCTCGTGTAATCATTACTTTCCTCGTTTATTGAAAGAATCACCTCCATTTTACCAATTCTCCATGATCGGAGAAGTGAGGATTTCCAGTCTTTGAACTAGTACCCCCTAGTGAGTAGCTTTCATCTGCTTGTATACTTAAAGTGTACTTATAAACCAGAAATAAGCTACAGTAGACAGGTAAATGAAATTCATCAAACTTTGACAATGATCATTTGTTTATTTTAAATGATTAAATCACGCAGTACAAATAACCACCCGTCGTCTCAATCCGTTTTATAAGCTCCAAGTCTTTGTCAACTTATAAAAGTTGTTTTCTGAGGTTTGTAGTATTTTAGAGGAATAAAAAGATTTTCCAGTTATCTGGTTAGAAATAGATTGCAATAGTGACGGTACGTTCATCAATTTTATCATTCCTTAAATATTGACTATTTATCATTTTATATAAGCCTACTTCCGCATATTTTTTTCGACGTGATATCGATTTATGCTTTAGTTGTATGTGACAATGTGAATAAGTAAATTTTGGGTGAAGTTCTGTGTTTTTATCGCCTAAAATTATTCATAATAGTAGAGACCCAGTTACTGTATGTTGCACTATATATATATTATATGGTTACCTGATTATTGTACATATTTGATTGTTATGTTTTACTGTTTGTATTCACATATTTTCGGGGCGCAGAGCAATCCATTTACGTATGGCTTTCAGTGTTAATCAGTGCGAACTGACATTATGATCACTTTGTCTTATAACCAAATAAATTCTTATGATGATAACTAACAGATTACACTAAATAACATGAATTAATCTCAAATAGGATTACTTCTACTACCTGATATCTCACTGAGACACATTAATATCAGTATACTTTATTATTATTATTATTATTATTATTATTATTATTATTATTGTGATTGTTATTATTTAACAAAGATGAAAACGTTCGTAAATATTTTTAACCAACCCAAAATTACTATTGAAAAATGCGATTGAGTAGCGTACGCGAATTGGTTCACACTACTTAATAAACTATCGAACAGTATTATCCAAATCATTTTGCTGGCATAAATCAACATCTGAAATGAAGGAATTTTTTTCTTATCCTTCGAAACATTGTTGCCTTATTTTAAACTACTTATCAATTTGATGAATGAATCATTTGAATGTATGTTATATAATTCATATAGGATTTATATGATAGATAAGAATGTCAAAGTATCTATTTCTTGAGATGGTGGAGAAGATTTGTAGCTCAGGTGGATGATTTTGATGGAGTTTTGTTCTCTGAGCTGGATGGTTTGGTCGTGTCGAGTCACCTAGGCTGGTGGCCACATTGCAACATGGTCGATAGCATTCGATCTACACTAATAAGGACTAGACACGCAATCAATTGTGACTTGTCATTCACATTTATTTGATACAGTTGTTTTAAGTATCAGAATAACCATGAAACAAACTGAAATTTAAATTATATGCTTGTTTCAAACTAAATCTCTTTATTTTGTGTGTTTATTTCGTTGTTTTTCTCTCTCTGTAAATTCAATTCAATGTAGCAATTACGTCAAACTCCACTAATTGGAACTAGGTCAACTGTTCGAACATTTGTGAATAAACCTATAATGATTAATGAAGTTAAAAGTCCAACCTCATCTAATTTAGAGGTTACTCCTCTTAGAAATATTCAACTCATACAAACACCTAGAGTGATTGAATCATCTAATCAAAAAACGGAATCTTTTAAAAGTAACTCTACTAACAACAATAATAATTCAACTACGATGTCTATCAATAAACCAAATTTACCCGCATTTATTTCTCAATCTTCAATGAATGATTGTAAACGTCATATATCTGTTCCGTCGTCTTCATTTAATTCTACCACTAATACTACTACTAATAATAATAGCATCAATAATATTTCAGCCACGAAAACAGGTATAACAATAAAGCGACAATTAAGTGAAGCAGTGATATCAAGTGAGTAATCAGTAAAAAAACATTGAAATTGGAAATTCTTTTTTATTACAGTTGTCATTTTGATAATAACTATATTTTTTGTTATATCCCAATGGGTAGAAAATGATATTTCTGACGTTTCGTGACTTAATGTAAGCTATTTCTTCAGGTTAACTATTAAGTCATGAAACGTCGGAAATACAATTATTCTACTCGTTGGGATATAACAACCCAATGCTCAATTTATTTGAAATTTTCAAGTCTAACCTTGGTATTGATACTTATAAACTGCTTATAAGCACTGGGTTTCTTCAGGTTCGTTACAACTCATTGAATCCCGTCGGTCTACTCCAGGTGACCGTGAGTTTGACCATAAACGAAGGATATTACGTAAGGAAATTGGGTAAAGCTTGCGTAAGGACCGAGAAGCCTGGTGGTCGAAGCGTGCTAATGAGCTGGAAGCAGCAGCTGCATCTGGTAACTACCGGAAGCTCTTCCAACTCATCCGAGCCACTGGCAGCAAGAAGTCTGGCGTGAGCGAAACAATCTGCGAGGATGATGGTATACCAATCACTAACATCCATCGACGTCTTGGACGGTGGGCAGAATTTTTCGAAGGGCAGTTCAACTGGCCTGCTGCTCCGGCAACATCGGTCAGACTGTCCTGCCCTCCATGGCCGGTGACGACTGATCCACCAAATGAGGAGGAAGTCCGCAAGGAACTCCAACTCTTGAAGCGTTACAAATCACCTGGCCCAGATGACTTACCTCCGGCTCTTTTTAAAGATGGTGGTGACTTTCTGACTAAGGAATTAGCGACGTTGTTTACAAAGGTTTGGGAACTAGAGAGTGTACCAACGTCATGGAATGAGTCGATAGTTGTCTTTATCTTTAAAAAGGGTTCACGTCGTTCCTGCAACAACTATCGGGGGATAAGTCTACTTCCGATCGCGTCCAAGCTATTGGCTTCCGTCATACTTCGTAGGTTGTTCAAAACCCGAGAAAGATTGACTCGCGAGGAGCAGGCTGGGTTTCGTTTTGGTCGAGGATGTATTGATCATATCTTCACCCTCCGCCAAATGTTAGAACACCGTCATACTTATCACAGGTCAACAATCGTAGTGTTTCTTGACATTAGGGCTGCCTTCGATTCGTTGGACAGGACTGTTCTCTGGGATTGTCTATTGAAGAAGGGTGCGAAAAGTTTAACATCTTACATGTCCTATATACAAACATCTCAGGCAGAATAAGGGAATACAACCACCTCTCTCCATTGTTTCATTCGAGCAGTGGGGTTAGGCAGGGTTGCCCAATCTCACCATTCCTCTTCAACTTTGCTATCGACGACATTCTGGAGACAGCTCTGATGGATGTAAGTAATGGCGGTGTGGATCTGTTACCTGGAGAAAGACTTCTCGGCCTTGAGTATGCGTATGATATTGTCTTACTGTGCGATAATGCCCAAGGCATGCAATCCGCACTTAATCAGTTGGCAATCAGTGTCCGTAGGTATGGTATGTGCTTTGCACCTTAAAAGTGTAAAATACTTTTACAATACTGGCAGGAACGTGATCCTGCACTCACCCTGGGTAGTGAGCAGATAGAAGTAGTCGAGAAGTTCGTGTATCTGGGTAGCTGCATAAGTGCTGGTGGGGGTGTGAGTGATGAGATCAATGCACGTATAGTGAAAGCCAGAGCGGCTTATGCCAATCTGGGCCATCTCTGGCACCTTCGTGATGTCAGTCTGGCTGTAAAAGGTCGGATCTACAACGCGTCGGTGAGAGCAGTTTTGCTCTATGCTTGTGAAACCTGGCCTCTCCGAGTTGAGGACGTTAGACGACTCTCTGTGTTCGATCATCGCTGTCTCCGAAGGATTGCTGACATCCAGTGGCAACACCATGTCAGTAATGCAGAGGTTCGGCATCGTGTGTTCGGGCACAGAGATGATAATTCAATTGGTGTCACCATCTTGAAACACCGACTTTGGTGGCTTGGACATGTTCTCCGAATGTCGTCCCAGAGAATTCCACGTCGTGCATTATTTGCCGACTCTGGGACTGGTTGGAAGAAGCGGAGAGGTGGTCAGTGCATGACATCGTGTCGTGGTATGAAAGAAAGCTGCAAAGGATCGGCTTCTGTTGGTCCTTCATGACTCTCTGGTTGGGGTCCGAGAGATGGTACTACACAGTGGCTAGAGACGTTATCAGATATGGCTCAGAATAGAAGCGAGTGGCGATCCTGCTGTAACCTTCTTTTACTTTCTTCATAAAAAGTGGTTGTATCTTCCTTACCTGAAAGATTTCTTTCGATTGTACCTTTCCGTTCCCTCATTACTACCACACTACCTTACACCAATCTCTTCGTTATTGTTCTCTTTTTTTACGCTCCTTACCTTTTTTCTTTCTCTTCGAATTCTCATTGTTTTGTGTGGCGCATATATATTGGCGCTCTCTTGTTCCAATATTTATGTGTTCAAATAAATAAATAAATAATATTTTGATTTGTATATTGTCTTAATCATCATCAGTAACGTTTCGTTATCCACTTTTTAAAAATCATTGTTTCAATAATTAATGGTAGTAAAAAAAATGTTGATCAAGAGATTTATTAAGTAATTTAAATTTGTAATACTTTATGAAAAATTTCCAAGTCTACATCATTGAAATAACAGATTTGTGTTTTTGAGCAGGTTCAAAAATGTCCTGGTAAACGTGAACTGTGGCTAACAGTGGAATCCATAACAAGCTTTTCGTTCTGTTTTGGACTCGTCAGCTGTCTACACCTTCATCTAGTGTTGATCTTTACACAAAAACTCGAACCATATAACTTCAAGCGCTAGCGCGTCACTCACTAAACTCCTGAGTCCACATCACAACCAACTTGTTCAACAGGTATGAAGTTTGAAGCGAAAGGTATCGGATTCAATTCTAAGTATATACATCAACACTAAGATTCAGATGCATCCAGCTGACTAGTCCCAATTAAAATGGAACGCGTGTTATTGATCCCATTGCTAGCTCCAATCCAATCTTACTAAAACTTGTAATTTAAGGAAAGTATTGAGGTAATTCGCTTAGGATTCACATGTGCCAATTAGGACCGATCAACTGCAGTGCGTAACACTAACAATATGAAAACTGAAACCCTTGCATATGAATAATATTCTTCTGCAGATTTTATCTACAGTATACATCGGAGACGGATTATATATTGCTTAGGCCATAGGTATGTCTACATGTTTGACATTATCAACGACCAAATTTATTGATCATCCATATTCGTGTACCTGAGTTTGTGCTATAGTCATAGACAGTTTTAAAACAAATGTAGTGCCAAGCTGGTGTCTAAGTAAAAAAATTCCTACTTAAATTCATTGTATAACTTTTTACTGATAAGTGTGAAATCCTTACAAGGATTATGACTGAATCATCGAACTGTTCACAAAGAGCTTTAAATCTAAAAATGGCATATATTTTCAAGACATTATTGAACCTAATAAAATAACCACAGAGTTTAAGAACATTTAAACAATAGGTGACTGGGTGTTATTTACATCGTCAACAATATAAATAAAAGTAAATAAGAGCCAAATTATTGTCCTGTATATGAAAAACTAACCCATGGCTATTTCAAACGAGAATAATATTAACAATTGGCGGAAATAAATTAGTTATTACTATTCAGAAAACCAGGGAACAACGTGCAATAAACGTTTTAGAAAGTAGGGTGTATAATAAAAGCTAACAATGAGATAAAGAATGAGACAAATCACGAAAATAGAAGTATAAATGAAGACTATACTTGGTTCGTTATAATCGAGAAATTGCTCTTGTTATAGTAAATAAGCCTTACAGTTGGTAAATGGGTAGCTCATTATTAGTATCATTCTCAATAAATAGTATGTTCTCAGAAAAAAGCATGGAATAATTGAAGGTTATCACGTTTAAGGGAAACTTCCAAAGGAGTTAATTCATGCACTGGTATTTTAGTTATTGTAAACAATTTATCAAATAAATAGGTCTACTTACTCAGCATTGAGTCACACTGTATACTTAAGGGGTAAGCATACTTCCCTTTTGTCCTCTCTTCACTACTCTATAGTTAAGAAACACGGTCTATGGGACTAAAAGGCACTCATACGCTACAGGTTTTTGACTATAATCGTCTTTAAAACATTGCTTGCATATCATCGAACAACCATGTGAGGAATTTTGAGGTAGGGCATAGAATACCAAATGAAGATGCCAAATTGGCTGATGAGGTAATGAATTTTTATACATTGAGGTAGTTTGGACATATATTACGTATGTCTAACCATCGCCTACCTCGATGGTGAATGCTCGCTGGTGTAGGAGTAAGTTGGGGCAGCTAAACCAAAATGTGGTGTCAGTCCACGAAATCATTAGCTGTTGACGTGAGCTATGACAGTAGGTGAAGATTATAGTCGTAGTCAATGGTTGAAGATGTTGTGTAATCCAGCTCAGAATCAATTACAATGGCACAGTTACATTAGCGTTCTCTAGGTTTTGATTTTCAGTATTCATTCATACGTACTTTTTTACTCTATTCTTTCGAACCATATCCCCGATGATTAGTCTTCTTCCGTATCATCGTCACTACATTATTTCGATCTTTGCAATTTATTTTGTTAATCTAATCTCGTGATAACATGTTATGGAAACTAACCAATACGCATTGTTGTCAGGTTCTACGTTTATTGTAACTGATTGAATGACGAACTGTCTATAAAAGCTAGTGATTCCACCCGTGTGTTCAAGCTGAAGTACGTGTAGTCGGATTCAAATATATAGTCTACATCGGTCGATGATACATAGTCCGAACTTTTAGATCACTTGTGTTGATAGTTTTGTTTTTAAATCAGTGGATGAAGTTTCCACTAACTCAATTTTGTTTTAATCTAGTTTGTAGATTGCACTGTGTACGCATTTTTGTGTATAATTTTTTCTAATTTCAGTTCGACCTGCAACTAGTCGTTTGTTAGACAACAATTAAAATTAATGGTTTCGATACATATAACGATCTCGACGTGTATGGATATAGAGAAGATCGTATTCTCATACTTCTGTTTTGGAAGCATTCATTTCAATTCAAAGAAGATAAGACGCTTATTTTTTCGTTCTGCATTTCTTTTCATACACATCTTCATGTTATTATTAGTGTACGCATACAAAAAAGATGATTTCCAGCTTTCTGATTCTGTTAAAAAACAATCAAAATGGGTGTCATAGATTTATTTCTCTAAATTTGTAAATAATCAGTATTTGCCTGTTCACTGTTATTATTTATACCACAGGTTATTTTTAAATACTGCATAAACAGAGTTAAACAATAGCTCTATAATCTTTCATTTGTTCATGAAATTCATGTAAATGGTACTGTATTCAATAGAGATTTATTATTCACTATGTATAAATATAAATACAAATATATATTTCCGTATTTACTTTTTAACATAATTACACACTATCTCGTATTAGTCGATAAAAATTAGGCTGTAAATACTGAAAATATAATCTTATCTACAAATATCATGCTATGAATGCACAGAAGATAATCATCGTGGTTGTCAGTGAGAATTCGTTGACCTTTGTGAATCTAATAGGGCTTACGGCGAAAATGGCTCGTGATAGCTTTTTCACATTGTGTTAGAATCCTACGGAGGAAATAAACTTCCCCAAGATAACAGACACGCCTTATTAACGATTATCAACTAGTAAAGAGTGTCGATTTAAGTCTTCTTGCCTATTGAATCCAACTGCCTAACATAAAAAATAGTGCTCCGTGAAGTCAAGTCACTTAGATTAGTGGCCCCAGTGTAACTTAAGCTTAGACAAGATGATAATGTAAGTAAAGCCAGAACAAATATTGATGCAGAATAGTATGAATTCATTTTGTTCCGAGGTTTCTCGTCAGTCGCTTACAACCAAATATGTGATAGAACTTTTACACTGAGATAATGTGAAACAATTGCCATGAATGTATGTTGATAATTGGAATGAAAAACGGCCCACTTCTGGTAGAAGGTTATATTTATAAAGAGTTAGCAGTGTTCATTGATGTATAGTCAACTCAAAAGTCAGACATAACTAACTTGATTGTCGTTATTAATTATATTCTGCAACGTAAGTGTTTACTAAGACTCACAGTTTTTCTATATCAGTTCATGTGATACAGGAGATTTTGTTTACTTCCAGCAGTTGAGTTCTAGTTTTTTGCGCAGTTTATATCAGCATAGTTCTACACAAATATTAATATGCGGCTGAGTATTTCATGAGACAATATCACAAAATTTCAACACGGCCTTTCTTCAGGATACTAACAAACTCAAGATAGTCCTCTGCAATAAGTTCCAGGCCTTTCATGATCTACTCAATGGAGAAGGAACTACTGTGGAAAGCAACTGGAAGGGGATCAAAAAGGCAATCACTTCAACATGTCATGGGTCACAATAAGCACCATCACAAGGAATGGATCACTGTTAATACACTGGATAAGATCCAAGAAAGGAGGAACAAGAAAGCAGCAATAAATACCAGCGGAACAAGATCAGAAAAAGCCAAGGCACAAGTTGAATACACAGAAGTAAACAAGCAAGTGAAGAGGAGAAGCAAAACCGACAAAGTAAATATGTGGAAGATCTAGCAATGATGGCGAAAAAAGCTACAATAGAAGGAAACATGAGAGCACTGTGTGACATAACAAAGAAACTCTCTGGATATCGCCGTAAACCAGAACGACCAGTGAAAATCAAGGAAGGCAAGGTAATCACCAACATCGAAGAACAACGAAACAGGTGAGTAAAACACTTCAAAGAACTCTTACATCGACCAGCCCCACTGAACCCACCCAACATCGAAGCAGCACCCACCGACCTCCCAATCGATGTTGGCCCACCAACCATTGAAGAAATCAGCATGGCCATCAGACAAATCAAGAGTGGCAAAGCAACAGGACCAGACAACATTCCAGCAGAGGCACTGAAAGCAGACGTAGCAGTAACTGCATAGATACTCCACACTCTTTTCAATAAGATTTGGGATGAGAAACAAGTACCAAAAGTTTAGAAAGAAGGATACTTGATTAAGATACCAAAGAAAGGCAATCTCAGCAACTGTGATAACTACAGGGGCATCACTCTTCTCTCAATACCGGGAAAAGTCTTCAACAGGGTATTGTTAAACAGGATGAAGGACTCTGTAGACGCCCAACTTCGTGACCAACAGGCAGGATTCCGTGAGGATAGATCGTGTACAGACCAAATCGCAACTCTACGGATCATTGTGGAACAATCAATTGAATGGAATTCATCACTCTACATCAACTTCATTGACTACGAAAAGGCATTTGATAGCGTGGACAGAACAACACTATGGAAACTTCTTCGACACTACGGTGTGCCTCAGAAGATAGCCAATATCATTCAGAGTTCATATGATGGATTACACTGCAAAATTGGGCATGGAGGACAGTTGACAAAGTCGTTCGAAATAAAGACCGGTGTTAGGCAAGGTCGCTTACTCTCACCGTTTCTCTTTCTCCTGGTGATCGACTGGATCAAGAAGACGTCAACGTCTGAAGGGAAGCGCGGGATACAATGGACATCTAAGATGCAGTTGGATGATCTAGACTTCGCAGATGATCTGGTCCTTCTATCTCAAAGGCAACAACAAATGCAGGAGAAGACGAACAGTGAAGCAGCAGCAATAGCTCTCAATATACACCAAGGGGAAAGCAGGATTCTCCGATACAACACAGCATGCACCAATCCAATCAAAATTGACGGAGAAGATTTGGAAGATGTAAAAACCTTTACATATTTTGGCAGCATCATTGATGAACAGGGTGGATCTGATGCAGATGTGAAGGAGTGGATCGACAGAGCAAGAGCAGCTTATTTACAACTGAGGAACATCTGGAACTCAAAGCAACTGTCAACCAACGCCAAGGTCAGGATTTTCAATACAAATGTCAAGACAGTTCTACTGTATGGGGCAGAAACTTGGAGAACTACGAAAGCCATCATTCAGAAGATACAGGTGTTTATTAACAGTTGTCTACGCAAAATACTTCGGATCCGTTGGCCGGACACTATTAGCAACAACGTACTGTGGGAGAGAACAAACCAGATCCCAGTGGAGGAAGAAATCAGGAAGAAGAAGCGCTGGAAGTGGATAGGACACACATTGAGGAAAGCACCGAACTGCGTCACAAGACAAGCCCTCACATGGAATCCTGAAGGCCAAAGAACACATTACTCCGGGAAATGGAAATAGACATGAGAAGCTGAAGCTGAAGCGATCGCGATAAAAAACTTGAACCGGATTTATGTATTCAAAAAGAGACAGCAATAAACTTATTACCCTGGTAATCCATTCTTATTTTATTTTTATTGTTTTTTGGTTATTTGCGTTACTTTATTCATTTATCTATTTTTTATATCATTTATTTTGTTATATTCCTCCCCCATTACCGAATTCTTAAACCCACTTTCCATTCACACATTTCCGCCCACTTACCCTCTTAAATTATGTGAACTTTTCAAACTCTATTCAATTATTACGTAACCTATCTTATCACTGTTTAGTCCCATGATTCTTTCATTATCTCTAAAATTATCACACATTTTATCTTATCAGTCTCTGAACTCCACTCAACTATCACACTATCCATCCTTAATTGTTTCCTTAATTCTAGCACCAGATAACCTCTGACCTGTTCTTGTATGCATATGTGTACAGTTATTATTGATAACATTTGTCATTCCAATTATTTACATTCAATTATGTCAATTGTTTCACACTATTTCTTATCTCAATATTAAGTTCTATTACATATTTGGTGGTAAGCAACTGACGACAAACCTCGAAATATTATGAATTCATACTATTCTGCATCAATATTTGTTCTGGCTTTATTTAAATTCATAAAAGGAACTAATTGCATGACAGATGATAATGGTTAATATTAAGTGGCTAGTTAGTACCTAGCTCGATCAGTACAGGTACATCGTTAGTGAACAGATTTGACAGGGAAAAGAGAGGATATCAAAGTATTTGGATCTACTCAATTGGTTCTAGTGAGCGACATTAGAAGTTTGCTATTAATTACGTGCTTAAAATCGATTTTGGAAAAAGATTGCCATCACTAGAACACTTACAATAATTTAGTGATTTATCTTAGGCTACTTACAAGTAACCAAAATTCTACACGAAATATTTACAGCTTATGTTTACCTGAATCTGAAAAACGATTTTCGGTCTCTAGAGAATCTTGAAATGAGAATGGTTAGATAATTTGGAATCGAATGTATTAATGACCTGAAAATCCTTAGTTCCGGTGAACTGTTTGACTCATTTAGGTCTCCCTAGCAATTTCATCACACCGAAACAAGTTATAAAAATCCGAAGTGAAAGATGCAAACAACCTACTACATAAACACTATTACTAGTCCATTAGTGTATTCGTTTAAATAATCTGGTTTTGTATTGTCCTGAATGTGTGGAACGGTGTGTACAGAATGAACATTGTGACAATAGTTGAGTGATACCTAAATGTAGAGGAAATTCTTTTGGAATACATATTGAAATGATAGTAATCATCTGACTTAGATTAATGATGTACTTTTAGAGGTTGACATCTTTATTGTCATCAAAGAACCGATATTAAGAAAGTAGTTGAACTTTTTACTGCATCAGTATATCAGCGGGATTACACTGAAGGCTAGTTGTGAGTTCATTGCAGGAAATCAATAAACGTCGCTAAGTGTGACAGCTCCCAGAGTTTCTTTGAACCTATTCAAGCCACTAGAGACAGGATTTCCGGAGTCTTCGTATGGAATTCATCTTATAATCTGATCTACGAAGCACCCTGGATAGGCTTTTTGAGAGAACGTTCTTTTGAGGAGATAAAGTTTTTGTATTGTAAATTATGTGTGACTGCTTTCGATAAATCTTCCTTTATGGTTACGTTATTTTGATGAACTGAATTTTGTATTCCACACTAGTTTAAACAATGTGAAGCATTTTAAATCAGGAAAAAATGTGGATAACTAAGGTGGTCAGGATTCAAATGTCTTCGTGCAATAATGGTATACATAATAGTTTTAAGTATAATAACTAAAGAATAGGTGTAGGAATTCAACTAAAATACAATTGTTTTATTGTAAACAGTTTAGATAGAGGACGGACAAGAATGTTTGTGAGAGTATGATACAATTGAAAAAATATTGAAAAGCATCGTAATGTAGTGTTATACCAACAAGGTAGTGTCCATATAAACCAAAAAAATTTAGTATATATGTATTTGGGTTCAGACCATAAATCATCTGTGGTTCTATATTCAAATCGGTAAATCAAAAAGTGACTGTTGTTGTACACTAATCTGTGTAATTTTGCTGCTTCAAAGTGTAAATAAAATATGCAGCCTAACCGAATAAAGAA